GGAGTTTCCACTGCTTAGACCTCTGGAGAGAGATGCGTGTGTTTAATGAGTACTCATTAAAAAAGCCTCAAATAGAATCAAGTAGAAGCAGAAAAAAAGCTAAAGAGAATAGGGGAAACTACCTGGCTCTGATGAATGCTTTATCTCATCTCTGAAGAAGAATACAACATTCCTTGGCAAGACAAATTAAGTGTAAATGCGAAGAAAACACTGAATTGAGACCAAAAAGCTGCTGTGGGTCTGCTGTGTGCATACTGCTACCAGCACAACCTAGCTGCGTGTCCACGGGACAAATCTGACTTAGGACACATACCCACTCACCTAGCCTGGTCACTCTTCTTCTAGGCGACGCACCATGGGTGTCTGAGCAGCGAACATATCCTGGACAGGTAATTGTCTATTCCAGCACCTGGTTGCAACTTGGTATCATAAGGGAAGGGAAATCAGCCTCCCTGACCAGTGCCTGCTGCCGTCTGCTCCTCAGACCCCAGGCTTCCCAGACCCAGGGACCACAGCAGCAGCAACCAGCACCCCAGGAATGCTTTCTTGGCCTCCCCTTCTGCTAGCAGAAAAGGCCAATTTTTGCAAATGCTCTGTGGGGTGCAGAGGTAGGTCACTGCTGCCATCTGAGGAAGGCTGCTGCTGCTCCTGGGATAGCGGGCAGCTTGTGAGAACAGCCCCAGAGCGGATGTGCAGCTGATGAAATTGGGCCAGCCTGAACTACCCTGCGGTGGCAGACACAGGGGCTTGCAGATCTAAGACCAGATGCATTTATCAGCAAGGCTGGCTGTGTTTCATCAAAGGCTGTGCACAAGCTGTGACTGGAAAGGAGGGAAACACTGTCCAGAAAGAGCATGATGAATGAGGTGGACCAGACGTTAAGGAGTCATGACATTTTTCTGTGACTTTTCCTTAGAAGGAGGGCAAAAAACCCAAACTAAACCCAACCTCCGCACAGACAACCCCAGGGACCCTAAACCAGGCTGTTTAGTTATAAAAACCCCAACACCACCGCCCAGATCTGCTTTATTAGTTCTTACAGAAAGCTGTCTGAAGTGATTGAGAGTCCAGCATTGACAATAAATCCTGGAGTCCATTTCAGCAAGAAACTAGGCTGCAGAAAGAGCCAAAGCATCAAGGGAGACATGAGCTGCTGCTGCGCGGCCCTGGCTCAGCACAGCATATGCTGCCTCGCCGGGCGCTGAACTCGGCTGTGTCTGCACGGTCGCAGAGCCAAGGGAGCATCTGCAGGCTGTGCAGGGACCAGCCCCTCCTCTCCCCCAGTCCCCTGTCTCTTGGTCCGTGGGAGCAAAGCAGAAGCTTGCCCTTGCTTCAGTGGGTCTGTCTGATCTGCTTGGATGTCAGGAAGGAAACTTTTTTCTGTTGGGTTAAACTGGCAAATAGCATATGCTGCTTTCTCCTGCCTCATGCCCTTGGAGATACCGTTTGGCTAACAGTAATTTCCAGGGATGTCCTTGCACTGCACCACCAGCGGCACCACTAAGACAAGACAGCTTTTGGAACAAGCTAAATGGGAACTGGAGGATGCAGCAATGGATGGCATGTCAGAGAGAAGGGAGGAACATGAGGGTTTCCTGAACACCAGTCCCCTCTGTCACCCCTCTTGCGAAGGGAAAAGTGTAAGAATATCCAGGGGAGCAAAGGGAATCCTTAGGTTAGTTTGAGATTTTTGGATTCCTCTCGCTCCCAATTAGACCCACCTAATGCCTGAAACTGGGGGGCAGTAAGGGCTCTCTCCCACCTTAGCTTGCCCCATGCTCTGCATTCCCCTCGTACACTGAACGATTTGGAATGCCATGATCCTTGTTCTGGAAATCGTAAGGGGATGCTTTTGAGCTTGACAGCTCAAAATGATGATGATGGCAAACCTGATACATCTTAAAAACACACTTATATAGGCTCTCTGTCAAGCGTCATTTAAACCCCATACATCATGATAAAAAATGAATACGAAGCCAGCTCTGCTAGGCCACTGGTGGGAAGACAGTGTCCTGGTAACTTTAAAATATCTTTTGTTGTCAGATAAAGAATGCCCTGCTTTGAAAGGCCACCATCTTTCCAATTAACACAAAATAAGGAGATGAAACACTTTGGCAGACATTAAAGAACAAAATCCCAATAAAGTCCACAAGCAGAAGATGCTCCAGTAAGAGCTGATGTGCATGTAGTAACCAAGTGCTGGTTGTAACATGCTGTACAGCACTGGGTTTGCTCAGCTTTCATCCAAGTCTGAGGAATGCAAAAAGTAACAACCCCAGGGAGCACTTCTGTTATGAGGATGACATTTCCATGAAAAAAAAAACCAAAAAACAAACAAAATTAGGTTTGAGCTGCTAGCTTTAAAAGCAATTCTAGAGGAAAAAAACATTTAGATCCATATGATCCTAGATAATTTCAAAATAACTTTAAAAAGTATATATGAATTTGAGTTTTTTTAAAAGCCTGAGTACCTGCAAATGGAATTGTCTTTGTCACATATGCCAGACAGATGATGTTTTCTGTACAGTTTTCAGCGATGAACATAAAATATCCATTAACTTCACGGGCCTCGTGCTTTGCATAGACATCAGAGGTTCATGCTATAGGACAGGTTGTAGACACACTGATATTCTTCTGTAAAACAATTCATAAGAATTTAGTAAGAAAGTAAGACATGCTGCACTGTGTCCAAATGTCCACCTAACCCAGCAGCTCATTTCTGACGTGACCAACAGACATTTAAGAGGAGAATGTAAGAACAGGCATGCGCGCCTGGAACACTGCAGCCAAGCCTCCTTGAACCGAAGAGTAACACTGCACTATGCTTTTTAAATTTCCACTTGGGGGCCTCATATAAAGAAACTTTCTTTTGCTTACTGTAGCATGGAAATTATTTGATGTCCTGACAGCTTTCAATTCTTTTATCCTTGTAAATACACTGACCATTTATTATTGGCCACAGAATTTTTCTGTTGCATACTTGTTATTAAAAATTCTCCTGTTACCCTCTGCTTAGTTCCAGACTTAGTTGACATATCTGATATCCAACCATAGCACATAAAGTGCTATACATCTGGCAGGGGGCACAAAGTAGTTGTTACTGGGTGGTCTAAGCATTGCCAATGCCTAAAGTTCCCAGTTAATCCAAAACACTCTTTTAGTACCAGTGCTGTTCCGTGAGCTTGTGATACTGCTGGATTGCTTCATAAGCAGGACGTTATCTGCACTCAACAAAAACACAGCCATGATACTTACCAGTTCTGTAACGCCATTAATACTTCCACCATTTTAGTAGGAATTCCTCCACAATTTTGGCTGAGCACCATCAAGTTTTGGCAGGTTTTTGCTATTCTCTTGGTCAGCCATTTTGCCCTCTTAACAATACTTCCCACCCGAGACTGCTAGAAAGCCATTAGGCTGATGCCAGTTCTGTCCAGTGCGGAAGAGGCACTAACACAGCAACACCAGGAGGCTTGAACCATCCGTCCCTGCTGTTCCCGGCTCATTCCTGGTCCTCCTGACTGCAGAAGCAGATTAAACACGTCGTATGGTTAGAACAGGTTCAGTTTATTGTCCTACTTCAGGCTCCAGCAATTAAGACCAGAGAGACCTCCAAACAGCCCTGGCTGCATGATTTCAACACTGGCTTCTCCATTAGGCAAAACATTTATTTCCCCTCCCTCTCTATTGTTTTTTTTTTTTTTTTTTCCATAAATTTTTATTCATTTTCCAGTTTAGTAGATTGGATGGCTGATAGTTCCTAAGGGTCTATACTGTGTAATTGCAGTTCATGTTCAGTTAAGCAAAAAACGTTCATCAAATGCATCCTGATCACCATTGTGCTGTAGTCCTTTCAGCTGTAGTTTAACTGCAGAGAGACAAACTGGGACTCTACCACTGCACCATGATACCAATTTCTTCCTCTCTAGGTAACGCAGCTGGTGCCTGAACGTTTGGTGTGAGAGGTGGTGAGGACTTCTGTATCTGATAGAAGTAAACATCACGAGGATCTCCTCCAGGATACAGCTGAGCTGCAGGACTGTAGTCCTGCCCAGTATAAAGGAAGCAGCCCCACTTTCTGTTACTTACCTGGGTACCGGTCAGTCACTGGTCAGTTTGCTTCAGGAGTCATATTTTCACTGGCAACAGTACACAATAGTCAGTTTTACAATTAGCAGTGTAGCTCATTTCATCAATTTATATGCCTGGAAAATAAGTTGGGTATTCAAGAAAACCATTCAAAAGAATTTAAGTATACATTTTTAAAAAAGAGCAATTTGGAAAATGTGACAGCCATTTTCTTTTAGCTTGTCTATTATGAAATTGGAAAAACTGAACTCTGATCGTGCATCTGATTTTGCAGTTACTTAATTGGAGGATCAGGACCAAACCTCTAAAAAAAAAAAAAAAAAAAAATCCAGGTTAATATAGTTTCTTTCAGCTTTTGCCTCTTCCAGTTAATGATCACTAACTCAAATATTAAATATTTCCATCCATTTAGCAAGACCCAACAAAGACCCTCTTGTGCATCCATACTGAACTTTGTTCACGAAAACTGAGTGTAAACAATGACAATAAATGGCAGTGTGTCAGAAGTGCAGTAGAGGTAAATTAACTTGGATAAGAAAGGTAGACTTGCAAGGGCACCCTGGCTTTCATTTACAACTTTACATTCAAGAATTCCTTTAGCTATTCTTCCAGACTTTTTGTACAGAACTCTAGTGCCTGGTATTTCCTTCTGCAGTGTTAGTGAATGCAGGGGATCTACAGAACTTCAACTGAAGTTTGCACATCTAAATTTAATCCTTCTAGTTCAGTGAGTGTCATCTGCAATCTCTCTGCACTGGAACATATTTGATTTTATATTTTAGAAAGAAGATTGTTTTGTTATTTGAAACAGAATGTGAAATTCAATGAAATGAAACAGACACCCATTCTTTTTTAGAAAGGAAAATTTATTTATGGTTACATATACCACATATAAAATTAACATTTAACTGAAACATGTAATTGTTTCAATCATTTATGACTAAACACAATGTTGACTACAAAACTGTACAGTTTATATTTAGTAACCAATTCTTACAGCATAGTGCAATTGTAACATTTTATAAACAAAATAATTTGTGCCTTTTTTTAAATAAAGTGCATTAAATTACTATCTTGTATACAACAAGAAGCTCTGTAGTTGCAATCCAAAGCTTTAATCTTAAGGGGAACTGAGGCAAAGATGTTTCACTTCCTTTTAAAATTACTTCATATACTGGCAAGCTATGGTTCAAACTTCAGCCACAGTTAAATGAAAAAAAAAATCCCTAAATTAGTATAAGAAATAACCACAGGCCTTTATGTACAACAACAGTAATTGGTTCTCATATGAAAGCACAACATGCAGAATTTAAATTACTGGTTTAAAGCCATTTGGCTCCTAATGAGATGTATAGCGTGAGAACTACCCCCATGCAACTGCTTTTGCTCAAGCTTTCAGAATTCAGCATGAAGCCACACTGCAGTCAGTAGTATCAAGAGTTCACATGAATTGTACCATGTTTCCTAGGAAAAATTCTCTTCTAGAAGTTAATGAGATAAGCATGGGAAACCACAGGTTGTTTTTAATTGCATTTGCCAATAAAAAAAAAAAGCCGGGGTTTAGTTAGTAAGTCTCAAAAATTACAAGTGGTTCTACTCGCCCAGAATATTCCAAATTTCATGGCCCGAATATAAATACAGAGTTTTAGGGCTTTATTTCAGAGGCACAGTTATAAAACTTTATCCTGTGAAATTTCTTTTTATTTGTAAACACAGTTACAATCAACTTGTGTAGGTTTTGGCTGTGACAGTAAAGCTAAGACCAAACAACACGACTGTAGATTTTAGCCCGAAAGAGTAAAAAGACGTAGACATAGAAAATGGATAGAGGTCTCATGTGGCTCTTTCTAGAACTAATGACAAATATAAGAATGCCCATTTCCTTTGTGGGCTCTGGCTGAGGCCCGACAGAAAAGTCCATATTCTTCTCTCTCTCCATACATACATGGGACTGCTATCAACTTCAGCGGAAAATATGTTTGAGCATGTGCAAGTAACCCTAGAGATTGACTGAGTATTTTGCTGTGTATGCAATCTAGGCAATTTACCGGCCTCTTCAGCTGCAATACCCATTCCACGCTTTTGGCATAAATCACACATACTGTTTCCACATTCTGGAAAACTGCATTCTCCTCCTATACATTTTAACCTGTGGGACCAGCCTGAGTTCAGAAGCAGTCTGCCGTACATTCAGCCGCTCTGCTCTGGGACAGCTGCCGTGTAAAAAGGCGCATGCTGGAGCATGCTAACTCCCAGCAATGAGTTACTCTCCTCCTCCCAGACTAAGGGAAGTCTCTGCTTACATTGAAAGGGAAATTCAAAAGAAAGGAGCTGAAATTTGGTTGGAATGTGACTGAAGAAGCCTCACTATTTTCTATAAAGTCTTCAGAAAGCTCCTTTCCAAACCCAGCATGCTCTGACCCTATAATCAACACTGTAGAAAAGCCTCACCTCCACACTATTTATTTTCTTGTGAGCCCCCTGGGGCAGAGGCACCACAAGGTGGACTGAGTGTTGCTCATATGTAAAGGGAGTACATTGTCAGAGGGCAACCAAAGAGCAGAAAAAACAAAAACCCATGGAAGGGGCACAACTCCCCAGGCTCCATGGGGACACAACATTACATCCCTTTCCGGATGTGGGTATCTCAATTTTTGAAGGATCAGGTCATGCTGCTTTCATTCGCATACCCTGCAAGCAGTGGAAGCTAAATTCTTGATTATTTTGATGGCTTTCATGTTAGCAAACACAGAAGTAAGAGGAAAATTCTATGGGGACCATAAACCATCAATACATTAAGAGCTCCATACCTAGGCCCTAAATCCTATAGGTCCTAGTCCCTTTCACCTAGAATGCACTTCAAGTATATGTGTATTTCATGCATCCTTTAAAAATAAATGTATAAGATTTTTTTTTAGATACTGCAATATTCCCCAGGTTAGCATCAGCCAAAGAAAAACGTGCACCTGTGTTATATGACTGCACGGATTGCTGTTTTGACTCATGATCTGTGCAGTCCTGTTACCAAAGCACTCATGAAAGACAGAGCGAGAGAGGGGGAGAAGAGGGAGCAGTGTGCGCTGGAACATACAACTGCTGTATAGGCTCATGTCCGTGATCAACATCCTTTTTTTATTCTGTCCCATCTGTGGCTGTATAACACCTTCCCATAATCCCAAAGCTGGCAGTGGGATTTGTCCAAATTAAAGGCAGGAGAATTCACCTCCCTTCCAAAACCTCTAGACTGTCTTTGCTGAAATATTGATTACTGACCACTGATTCTTTCAGTGTTTGCAACATTCATACAAGTTTGGCAATGTTTTTCTTTCATCACATGAAACTATCTCAGCAAAGAGGTTACCCTTTGACCATTACAACACCAAAGGAATAGAGCGTGATATCTAGCATATCATGCCTATAAAAAGTAAATTAAATAATCATGATAATTATGTATATATTATATTTAAGTAGATAATTATGCTATTTAAGTATTTAAGTATGATAGCTCCTAATACTTAATTATACCAAAATACACTAAGAAACTGTTTCTCCACTCAGCACGTAATATAACTAGTAGTTAAGTTCTTTAAGTTAAACCTGGACATATGTATTTCCTTTTAAAAATCAGTTTATATTTTTTTAAAAATCAACTCTATTTTGTTAGCACCAATTCCTTAAAAGTAGAAGGCCCCTCCATTTTCTAAGGTAGATCCTTGCAGGATGCAGTCTTCAGCATGTGCAGGTAGTGTTGGCTTGCTTTTTCCTTGAGAAACTGGGACTAAACCTGTGCTCAGACATCATGATATCTATCGATCATATGGTTGGGATCAAATGGGTTGAGGAAAAGAGAGTATCACCAGTGTAAAGAAAACAGTAGCAGTTCACTTGCTTCCCCATGCTGCACATTAATCAGATAAATTTCCAGTGTAAGGCAAATGATCAAAGTTATTAAACGAAAAAGTGCTGCTGATATATTTGAAAGGGTTATAACAAACTATTTAAACCTTTGTAAATGAGATTTTACCTAAGAATGCAGCACTGTACTTGCGAGAGGGGGGTTCTTGGAATCACAGGAAAACACACCTCCCTTACCATCCCCCCCCAATAATCCTATGGCCATCAGCTGAATTACTACTCTACACTAGCAATTTAATGAAGGCCCTACATGTGTAGTGCATGTCTGCAAGTACTTGACACTTTTTAGAATGGTCATTTCTATGTAGAGATATCAGATAAATGAATCAGTTCTCTAGTTCTGGGTCATAAAAGTCTCCCTCCCACTTGGAAGGGGGAAACCCATAATACTATCTTGTCCAGTTAAACATCTAGCACCTCAGCAACTTTGTATAAATTGTCTTGGCATATGTAGAGTGCAAAACAAAAGGTCTGGGGAGGTGAGGACAATTTCCTTAAAAGACAATTCAAGGAGTTTGGGATGGCAACCTTAACTGACCTTTGTTTTAAAATTAGTTTTACTCTCTCAACCCATCAGTAAAGAACCTCCACTGGAAAATCTCCCCTTATTCTTCCAATGGCACTGAATTAGTTTACGTCACAGCAGTGATGCACTAGTTAATTGCAATATGGTTTCATGTAACCTACATTCAGGTTTGGATTTTTTCCATCTCTTCTAGAAGAAGTTTGTGTAACTGAAATATGTGACTGTTTCTTCTTCTTGTCTGGCTTACAAGATCACAATAATTTTGTGAATAATTTGCAGCATGGACTTTTTTAGTGCAAAGGCATATTGTTTTCAAAGAAACAGTTACTGCAAAGTTACAGACTCAGCTGTTCCTCAGAAGAAACAGAAATACATAATGACTTACTGTAAAATAATCTGCTGTTGGTTCTTTCATATTTTTAATATTGTTCCACAGAAAAGCCTCTTCTGATTTCAAGTGGAACCATGTAAGACTGAGCTAACAAGACAAGTAATAATCTGGATAAAACATATGAGGTCACGTTTCCAAGGAAGGAGGACCTCACTTATGATCATATTTCCTCCTCCTCTCTATTCTCTGGACACCATTCATCAGGAACAGCAATGCTGCCAGTCTCAAGGACACGGGACTGCTGCACTCCACCCCATGAAGAGCAGCCCCAGGGCCCATCTCACATGCTCTGTGTATGTCTGGTAAGGTTCAAAATGGACAGTTCAAAATAACCTTCCCCCCTTGGTGATGTATTTATTCAAGCATTCTTCCTATCCAAGCTCAAGCACTGAGTACCTGGCTGATTCGCCAAGACGTAAAGACTTTCATCCTCTCATCTTTCATCAGCCACCTAATATGAAAGCAGGTATCTTTGCAATTCATCCAGATTTCTGATCCATTAAAAGAAATTGCAAGTTCTTGATCTGAAGAAGCCAGTAGAGCACAGTTTTATGGGGTAATTTCCTTTTGTACCAAAAAAGTATTTCCAGATATGACACCTTTCAAGTTTACTGGGATTCCCATCATTCTTTTACTGACAGATGGGAGAGATATACATGCTTAATTTATCCTTCCTGTACTATTCCTTATTCATTACACATAAATCGTGCCCCTTCCTTTTAGTCCCCTCTCTATAAGCACAGTCAAGAGATTTTATTTTTTCTCCATTGCACATCTCTGGGCTATCACTAAGCCAAACTAAATGTGACATTGACAGAGAGGGTAAACGACTGCATTCAAAAACCAGAAAAAAAGAATCAGTACCTTGAAATATTATTTAAAATTATGATTCCCAGTTACAGTAATGCACTATTATCTGCACTGGCCTCTTTTTTTGGTTAAGCACCAAATTTCACATGCTTTTGAGTAGCCCTGCTGCCTAATACGAATCAAGTAACAGGGCTTCTTGCTAACATGCAGTACGCTAAGCGTGCAATATGCTAAGAATGGGAAAATATTGTTTTTCTAAGTTTACCACTGAAGTTATGAAACATTTTGTTAATTGGATTCCTGGGGTATTATTAAAAAGATGTTGTCCAGTTGCAAATAAAAATTCTGATTGCAAATAGCTATTTGTTCCTTTTGATAAATATGTAAAGGACAGATTATTTACTGCATTTAATGTATGTACTGGAGCAACCTCTTGTTGTAGAATCAGCTGCTCCAAAAGGCAGCCAAGCAAAACCTTAAAATGATTCTCAGACCTCCCAAAGAGATGTGGTGAGTCTATGTGTAGGCATTTAACATGATCCTTCATCATTTCTTTCAGAGATCTAGCTGCATTCTTGATCCTCCTCAAAAAGTACACCACCACGGTATCTTTTCCTGAATAGCTGGCACTTCAAAATACTCTTGAATTCTTACAACATATGTTCCATACTCAGTGAGAGTCTACCTGATATTGTCTTCTTGCAGCAGTATAATTTAAAGAAAAGCTGTTCACCTTTTCTGGTGCTATTCCTGCATATCTAGGACTTGATCTGTCTACAGCTGGTGTACACGTATACTGTTCTTATTCCCACTCACAACAGAGCTGTTACATCAAATTGTTTTGCACTGGCAACCATGCTAGTCCTCTGACTTTTGCTACAAAGATTTTACACCAACTTGGGGGTATTCAGGATCTTCTAGAAAGCTTCCAGAGTTGGTTTCTGTATCAAGGACAAAGAACCATTCAGTATTTCTGACTAAGTGACAGAATAGCTGATTTTTTTTTAAATAGTGACTAGTCTGTCTGATTATTTTTCTTTCTTTACTGTACATACAAAAACCAGACCATACATACTATCTCTCCATAAAAGTCAGGGCCAACATTTTGAAAATATGGTTCTGAATGCTGGAGAACCACATTTTTTTAAAAAGTAATGAGTGTGTAGTTATGTTTCAGGGGCTTGATTTGTAGCAATGCTGTTTTATCTCAACTTCTAGTCACGCTTCAGGTTGCTCATTGCTTTTGAGAAATGAATCCACAAGTATCTTATTTTTAAAAAGCTGAACAATCCCTAAGAAAATGAGGTAACAGAAAAATAAACCTCTGGGGACAGAGCAGCTGCTGGTCTAAGCCAAAGTTCACTGCTGTCCACAGAGGGGTTTTAGTGACACAAAGATGCCTCAATGCTGGCCCCTGAACACAAAGGATGGATGCAGCTTCTTGTATCACTGAGTGTCCATGGTAGGAAGATACAGCAGCGATAGCAGGCCTTTCAGCTTGCCTCCAAATACCCTAGGGATTGGCAGGGGTTTTCTTCAATGATACCATAACCTTGTTCTTTTAAAAGCCAAGCTGTCTCCAGGATGGGCTAGCACCATTTATCATACCCATCTTGATGGGCATGACAAATTCAGGTAGTATCAGTTTTTGTTTGGTGAAGGGTACTAAGGTACAATTGGAAATCCTGAACACAGCGAATTTATCCATAGAACGTTGTATAACTAAATGCCAAACAATGAAAAGAATAAAAATCCCCACTGCAGTACATAATTCTCCCTTGCAAACAGCATGAACTCAGGATCCAAAAAACTAAGGTAAAAGGTTATTGCTGAGTAATTCTATCCAGGAACTCAATAACTGAGGGACACTATTTCTGGTTGGTTTGTGTTACATCGGTCTGATAGCAACTGCTTAACAAAGGAAGACTTCTGCTTACTTAAAGTCCTTATGCAAGTTATTATTTTTTGTCTAAAGAATATATTGCTTCCTTTCTATTGCTTTGAGTTTACTCAGCAGTTTACAGTAACCACAACATGGAAGATTTTATTGCTCTTGTGCTAAAAACATATTTCCCCTTATTGCTGAAATGTTACTGTTAGGAGAAATGGTTTAAAAAATATAAGACTATTAAAAAAAAAATCCTCTCCCAAGCTTTGAGGATGAATATATGAAAAAATTAACTACAGTAAATTTTGCCCATCAAGATACAACCTATTACTAACTTTGGGTCAAGTGTATTAATAAGTAAAAATGAACTTCAATTCTTTAAACTAAAATATGCATTAAGAAAAAAGTCTTTTGTCATTACAATGAAGATATGAAAGCTATTTTACTGTACCTAGAATAGTGAATCCAATACCCTGATCTTACACATAGGTGTTGTTTGATGGGACAACAAAATGACAGAATTCTGCAAGCGGCTGGGATTTCTGCCAGTTTCAGAGGGATCTTGGATGGATACTGGCACCTCAACATACAGAGCCAGTGTCTATACTGTAACTCTGAGGTGACAGCAGAGAATTGCTTAATTCTGCAGGGCCTGAAAAGTGGCTGTCTGTCAAGCATTTCTTTTGTGCAAGTGAGGTAGGCAGCTTTGTACCCACAGCTCTGCCTCTACTCCTAAGAGTTCATTCACAGGTGTGTTATATAGCATTATTGCAGTACTGCAAACCATGTTCGAGTTCGGTCTGACAGCTGTGGGCAAACCTACGTCACTGACCTCCAGAAGGATTTTCTGGCCTATGCTGCACAGTCTCAATTTAAGAACATATTTCTGGAAGAGACAGCGTCCTCACCGGAGGTCACAGAAGTAGCTCAGAAGGCATAATGATGTTTCCGGTCTGTGTGTGGTAAAAGGTAACCAGGCACTACTCCTCAAACAAGGGCAATCACATCCCTATGAGCTAGCTTTGTGGGACTTCTATAATTAATCCTCCTTTCCTCCATTTGACTCACACTGCTCCTCAGGAGAGGAGCTTCCAATTACAAATCTCTCTGCTCTGCCACAAGGAAAAGGTCGGCTCCCCCGGCACTCTGGAGAGTCTCTGCAGATTTCAGCAGCGTGTGGAGCGAGGAAGATGACAAGGATGCTAGGTGAACCTGCATGAGAAGAGGGGACAACATTATCTCCCTCTATGCTGTTTTCTTCGGGCTTCCCTACCACCCAGGTGTTGTGGAGAGAAAAACACTAGTCCCTGTGAGGTTATCCAAGAGGACAAGAACAGGTCTGCATAAGCAAAACAACAGTTGTCCTCATGACTGAGTTTTGGTCATAGTTGTAGCTGCTCATCTTCATTGTACTTTTTAACAATTTGATATGGAAGAACAAATGGAGAAAAAAAAAGAGGGGGGGGTAAACTTTGCATGAGTAACTTATTTTTTGCTTTAAAAGTGCTGTTCTACATTATTCAGCCTCTCTACATTATTCAGCTCATGACTTTTACTGCCATTTATGCCCAATACTTTGCATACTTGCAAAACTGCAGGCATATATAACATGGATATTTACAAAGTGATTATTTCTTATACAAAAATTCATAACAAAATGCAATGACTAGAGTTTCGTTAGCATTCAGAAGTAGATAAAGAACACCAATATCCTACACTGAGCAGGGGCCACAGTCTAACTGTGCTGAGCATCTGTAAATTGCAGTGAAGCCAAGGGAGCTGCAAGTTCACAGCTCTTCTGGACCATGTCATGCAATTATTAAACTAATCACATTACAAAGTAAGAGCTAAATATCATGAAGGTTGAACCAAGTAAATAATGGAATTTGAACCCAGCACTGCAACTAAAATTAATTATTGCTCATAAAAATCTCTACAGAGCCTTGTTTACAGACAACTCATTCACATTTGAGATTCAGCTTTGTGTACAGAGTACGATTCTTAATGTCACAGAAACTTTGCCACAAAAAGCTACAGTCATCCAAACGTCCGTGTGAAAAGGACAGATTCCATTTGGAAAAATCCAGACCAGCAACACAGTTGTCTCTACTATCTATACTATACAGGTATATTTTAATTGAACTGTAAATATTGCTATTTTTACACTTGAGTTTGTTGGGTTTTTTTAAACTGTAATGGAAGATACTGAAGCAACAATACAGTATGCTGACTGACATTCAAGGGAATATAACCTCCTACTGATGCCAGGGCGTTAACACATTGAGCTACCATCAACACTAATGGAAGTGTCACTATAAACTGCCATGCACTGACCTTAGGGTACACCTTAAGTTTCAAAAAGACATCTGTCAGCAAGTTTTCTCTCTGACACTCAAGTCTTCAAATTAGAAAACAATGTTTTATTTCTAGTGCATTCTAATGTGGCTTCAGTAAAAGGTTAGAAGCAGTCTGAAACATAACCATTCATGGGAGGAAGCTTTGCTTTTTAGAAGAGAACTGATGTGTGCAGTTGAAGAATTACAACCCATAATGGATGAAAACTGCCAAAAAAGGAGAAAATACTGGTATGCTCTAAGAATTTATAAACTTCGGTATTTTAAATGATACAGCAGAACAATGAAAACAAGTGGTAATAGTTTTTGCTCGATAAAAAACTTAAGGGGAACCATTTCATGAAGATGCTAAACGCACCTTGCAAGCAATTTGTAGGTTATTTGATATTTTCTTATACACTTCTGAAAAGATAAACTTTTCTGAGAAACCTAGTGTTGTATCTATTATAAATGCATAGCCAAAAGAGGCCATACCATTTCATCAATTTCAAAAATCCCCCCTGAATTCCTTTTAAAATAGTATAATGAGCTCTGGTGTCCCATATCTAAGTGAAAACATATGGATGGATTTTGAAGAGGAAGGCAAAGCATATCATCTGTTTTAACGTCTGGTCAGAACTCAGGAGAAAACAGGTAACCCTTTAAAACAATTATCAAGCTAACTCATGCTGAGATGTAAAATAAAAAGCTATGCAAGCACTTCCCTACTAAGAGCAAATTTGTTGCACTGAGATTATTACAATAAATACCACATAAGTCAGTGCAATTGGCCATTATTTTGAAGAGTATTCTAATGACATACAAATGGGATAACAGGACTTGGGTTTTCATTTTCTTCTGTTCTAAAAAGAATCAGAGGGGAAAAAAAATACCCTGACAACAGACTGCAACATGCAGTATGTCTAAACTCAATCACATAAACAATTTCAAAGGAGGTATGCTGTTTCAATCTAATTTTAATTAGCAAACTTAATGTAAAATCATGGCAAACATGGCAAAGCCTAGGTAATATAACAAAAAGACCCTGAGCAACATTATAAATCTGTAAGAACACTGATTATTTTAATTTTGGAAATCTCCCTTAAACCACCTGATTCATTTTGGTCACTGGGGTTTTCTGTTTACAAGAAGGTCAGTGCATCCTGTGTTTTTTATAGGAACCCATCACACATCATTTAATTAATGTATCTAAACCAAAGACAGCATTGCAAGAATGTCTGGAAAGTAACATGTTAAGGAGCGTCCTCCTAGCTGCCAATCAGACATCACTGGGTGATCTTGCTCTCTGAGACAGGTTAGAAGGAATACAGCCACAACAGATGAGCCAAAGTGCTTTCTGTATCTCCTGGTTTCTAAAAGCATATATTACAGGATTGATGATGGAATTGTAGGTAGCTGGCAGGAGGGTGGCATAGGTGTATATAGAAGGATAGGTGTAATCTGCTATTAAAGAATAGAGCGTAAAAGGCATCCAGCAAGCAGCAAAAGTCCCCAAAATAATGGCCAAAGTAGACACTCCTTTTCGGGTGGTCACATAGTGGGAAGTGGCCAGGAAATGGTGCTGCAAGGCAATCTGATGGGCATGGCGCATCACGATTTTACAGATTTGAATGTAGAGCTGCAGCATGAGGGCAAACATAAGCAAGAAAGAGACCGAAAGGACAGCTGCATTATTTTTAGTGAGTGGTCTGATAACACTGCAGGTGGATTCATCTCTGAGGCAGTTCCAGCCCATTACAGGCAGCAGTCCAATACAGATAGATGCTCCCCAGAGCAACACAAGCATGACATAGGTAAATGTGACAGTCCTCTCTGAATTGTAAGTCAAAGCGTAATACAGGGAGAGGTAACGATCAACAGTAATAGCCAGCAAGCTGCCGACAGATGCTGAGAAAGAGGCAACAATCAGTCCAATCGTAACCAGTTTCGTAGCTTCTGATTGCAGAAGGTATGCAAAAACAAAATTGATGATCAATCCAATGCCCGCTAAGAGATCTGCCAGCGCCAGGCTGCCTATCAGGAGGAACATGGGGGCACGAAGACTGGGATTATGGAAAATTATAAGAACCACAATGGCATTTTCGCAGGAGATAAGGGTCCCTGAAGTGCACAAGACAATGTCCCAGGGGTTTACCAAAAGCTCTGGCTCTGGGTCTATGACAGGAACCAGGGAGGAGCCTGCAGCTGAGGCATTCTCTGTAGAGCTGGCTTCTACATGATCCTGAGGCAGCCAGCTCAGATTAACCTTCAGATCTTCATTCATTTTAACCCCTGTCTTCTTCAACGGAAAGACATTTTTTTTAATATTGACATACAGCACTGATTACAGCATCCCCAGAGCATGCAACGCCCTAGACGGCAACACCAATCTAATATGTGCAGGCAGGCACTTGTTAAATAAATGTGACAATAATAATAAAAAACCAAACAAACAAAAAAAACCCCACAGCAAAACCGAAGGGGAAAAATATTTAAAACTGCCCGAGATTATCTGCCAAGCGACCGACACACGGAGGCTGAGTTAGCCTAACCGTAATTCCCTCCACCTGCATAGGGAAGGAGGCACAGGCATGGGAGGGAGCCCTTAACACAGCTAACATCCCCCCCCAACACCCCCCCCCCCCCCCCAATCGTTGCAATTTGGGGTGGGGGCCGGCTGTATGGCTGTGTAAACCCCGATATTCGGCAGCCACAATTTCGAAGTGGGATTATTTTTGGTCACGGAGGGAGCGGCCAGGATGGGGGGGTGGATATCTTTCACGGACCCCCTGCGAGGAAACCCCGCCCGGGCTGGGAGCAGGGAGGGGTGGGGGGATATATTCTCTAAGAACTTACAAACTCGACGCGGACACACACGGCCACCACCACACACCCCACGCACCCCCGGTCGGCGGTCACCTGAGCTTTTCCCCCGGCGGGTTGAGAGGAAGGTAAAAAAGGAGGAGGAGAAGGAAACAGAAGGTCGCCGTTGTGGTCCCTTCCGAAGGCGGCAGGACGGGACTCGGCCGCCCTCACGGCGCGGCGCGCGGGGCCGAGGGCGCAGCGCAGGTGCGCGCCCCCCCCCCCCCCCCCCCTCGCCCGCGCGCGCGCAGGGTGTACGTGTGCGGGGAGGGAGGGAGGGAAGGGGGCTCGCCTCGTGCGCGCGCGCCTGCGCAGGTGCGTTCCGGCGCGCGCGCGGGGGAGGAGGGAGAGGGGCGGGGAGGAGCGGGGGGGGGGGGGGGGGGGAGGCGCTCCTCCCCCGCGCGAGCGCCCCTGAGGTATCGCCGCGAGCGCCCCCAGAGAGAACAGAGCCAGACCCAGAGATGGGAGGTGTGGGGCGTCCGTCCCTGGAGAGCCCCCAAACCGGATGGCAGGTTCCTGGGCGACTCTGACTGACCCTGCTTGGAGCAGCGGGGCTCACCTCCAGAGACGCCTCTAAATACCTCAACCGTCCCGTGAGCCTGCGGTGTGTAAAAAAATGAAAATACGGTGTGAAAGATTTAAAGGAGGGACGGTGCACCGTGTCAGTATGTCTAGAGCAGGTAGCACCCGGCAGCGTGCAGAGGGCCTGCTGGGGAAGCCTGGGCGTGGGGATGCCTGCCATCTTCAGAGGGTGACATCAAGGGACCTGTGTCCAGATTTGCAAAGGTGTTACATATTGGATGGTGCAGGCAGGCCAGCGGGACTTCTAGCGAGTTAGAAAATTAACTTGCATAGAAGCCACTTCGTCAGAGGAACCACACCAAACAGGTTCAGATACCAGATGTAGGTGTTTGTGCGCAGGAGATAGTCTCCCAGGCTCCCCTAAAGCTGTCAGTGGAGAGAAACGTGTCCTCCAGGACATGCCAAAATCAGGGGATGAGTTGGATTTAGAAGAGCCTGGGCAATTTTAAGAAAACATGCTTTGCCCTCATGTACACCACTTTATACCTAAAACACTTTGAAAAATGTGACTCTGGGGACAACTGGAATCTGGAGAGAAGATTTCCTTCTCCCTTGTTGAGTAATGTGCTCAGCAAGCATGCGTGGTGCCAAACTTCATTCAGGTCTACCTCAGTCACTGTGCTAAGCCTTGGGAAACTTTGCTGGATCATTCAAGATAATTATTTCACATTTCTAGTGACCCTCCTGCTTTATAACAAGAATAAGAAGTGATTATCACCTTGCTGCTGATCGCTGTCTTCCTGATTTATCCACTGATTTCTTATGTGGCAGTGTAACAAATACTTCCCTGTGATCAAGACTGAGTATGTTTGGTATGTTTCCATATGTGTCACTCTTACATTTAGAACAGTACATTTAGAGCCAATTAGCGACAGTGGCTGCGCCTCTGTGAGAATGTATTTAAGAAGGGGAACCTGAGAGGGGGTTGGGACTTGTGAGGAGGAGTTGTGAGAAGGACACCTGTGTTAACACGAAAGTCAGTGGAAGGAAGGAGGAAGAAGAGGAGGAGGTGTGCCGGAGCAGAGACCCCTGTGTCCCATGGGGAGACGGCAGGGCGGCCCCCCCTGCCACACATGGAGGTCACCAGTGGAGTAGAGGCTGACTTGAAGCCCATGGAGGAGCCCACTCCAGAACAGGAGGCTAGCCTTAGAGGGGTTCAGGACTCTGAGGGGAGAAGTGGCCCCCACTGTTGTAGTTTGGCGCTGGTAGGACTGCAACACGTGGCGGGGACCCGCGTCAGATCAGCCTGGGAATGGCTGCATCCTGTGGGAAGGACTCACTCCAGAGAAAGTTCATGGAGGACTGACTGGTGAGAGGGGAGCCACATGGAGCAGGGGAGGAATGTGTAGTGTTCAACCCCCTCCCGAGAAGGAAGGAGCTGTGAACTGACTGTATCCCCCATCCCTTGCCCCCTGTGCTGCTGGGGAGGAGGTAGAGAGGTGTGAAGCAGAGCTGAGCCCAGGAAGAAGGGAGGGGTGGTAGGGAGGTGGGTTTTGAATGTGGTGGTACTTCTCACTGTCCCACCTTGTCTGTTAAGTGTTGGTTTTGTTAGTGTTTGCAATAAAGTGATGTTCTTTTTTCTTCTCCTAAGGAGTCTGTCTTTTTCCTGTGGCTGCAACAGGTGAGTCGTCCCTCCCTGTCCCTATCATGATTCCTGAGCCTTTATTTTCTCATTCCCATTCTTGAGGGGGAAGGGGTGAGTGAACGGCTGCGTGATGCTCAGTTGCCTTCTGGGCTCAAACCATGACAAACAGTTACATTAGAAAATGCAAAAGCTTTTCTTCATCCTGTTTAAACATTTGTTTCACAAATGGGGAAGACCAGCATTTCAATTAAACATTTTAATTTAGGACTTTGGAGAGCTGTTTTTATTCGCTTAGTTAATCTGTGAATGATTTCCATTCCAATTACAACACATTATAAACAAGCTAATGTTTGTAACCTGTATTACCAGTTTGTCAGTATTAGTGAGATGGTGGACTGTCTTGGTCATTAGGGCAGATGGCATTGGCATGGATTTCACCCTGTAGCACTACAGAACAGTTGTAATTTAGAGGATAATCTCTTTTTAGGCACTGTGAAGATTAGCAGATGCAAAAATTAGTGATGGGTCATAGTTAAAGAGCTCTTGAACCACTGTCTTGCTACTGATTTCTGCCTCTCTCGTGAGCATGCTGGTACAGATGATATTTGATGACCCTCAAGCTAGCACAGAACAGCCTAGTGCTGCTGGAACAAGAAGCAGAGGTCGGGCTGTGCTGCCTCGGGATTTAAACTGGGATCCTCTGGCCTATTGCAGGTAACACAATATGACTTTGCATAATATTGGCATATCCTGAGGCATCAGCTGTGAAGCCTAGTGCTGTTATCTATCTCAGGGCATAGTTTGGAAATTACTCTTCAGGCAGTCTGTGGCCTGCAGAGTCCAGGAGGCCTAGATGAGTTCAGGCACGTGCACTTCTTGCCCTCAGGTAACTGTGGCTGTCAATACATGGGAGCTGGCTCCGGGTCTGTGCCTCAGCCATGTCCTGAGTGGCAAGTCTGCTTCCGGGCCCCTCTGCGCCATGGATGGGAAGCCTGTTCATACAGCCGAGAAATGAAAAACATCACCCGGTCCAGTGACTTCTTGGTCTGAACAGTAGGAGCATCAGGCTTTGGGATGCATCCTGATTGACCCAGTGAGTAAGTACAGAGCTGTCCATAGAAACCAAACAGCTCAATTCAAAGAAGAAAAAATGATCCTCATGTAATATGTTGACATACTCTTCACCTGGAGCCTTCCTTCCTTCAGTCCTTCCTTCAGAGAATCTGACAGGCCACAAGCCTCTCTCATTCATTCCTAAATACCCTCTCTTCTTAATCTCTTTATAGGCTCCTAGGCTTTAATCCATATAATCAAACCCACTCTGAAGGACAACCAAGTCAAGTGACAGTCCTCAGTACACTCCTACCTGGAGTTATTTTTTCCTTTGGATTTTCCTCCATTTGTAATCTTACAGTAATTTAAATAAAAATATTAAGTAAGTTCATATTCTAGTAACAGCTCTTGCAGATCATAATGGTACTATGCTGGACCTTGTCCTTACCAACAGGGAGGGGCTTGTGGGGAACATAAAGCTTGAGTGCAACCTTGGCTGCACTGACCAAGAATGGTGGAGTTCAAGATCCCTAGGACAGCGAGGAGGGTGCGCAGCAAACTCATTATCCTGGACTTCAGGAGAGCAGACTTTGGCCTCTTCAGGGATCTGCTTGGCAGAATAGCATGGGATAAAGCCCTGGAGGGAAGAGAGGCCCAAGGAACCTGGGTAATATTCAGGGATCACCTCCTCCAAGCTCAGGAGTGATGCATCCCAACAAAGAGGAAGTCAGGTAAAAGCATCGGGAGGCCTGCATGGATATACAAGGAGCTCCTGGACAAACTCAAACACAAAAAGAAAGCCTACAGAGGGTGGAAGCAAGGACAGGTAGCCTGGGAGGAATACAGAGAAACTGAGCAACCAGGGATCATGTTAGGAAGGCTAAAGCCCTGATAGAATTAAATCTGGACAGGGATGTCAAGGGCAACAAGAAACACTTCTTTAGGTGCGTCAGTGAAAAAAGGAAGTCTAGGGAAAATGTGGGCTCTCTCCAGAAGGAAACGGGAGACCTGGTTACCTGAAACATGATGAAGGCTGAGATACTCAGTGACTATTTTGCATCTGCCTTCTCTGGCAAGTGCTACAGCCACACCTCCCAAGTTGCAGAAGGCAAAGGTGGGGATTGGGAGAATTAGGAACTGACCACTGTCAGAGAAGATTAGATTTGAGATCATCTAAGGAACCTGAAGGTGCATAAGTCCATGGGATCTGATGAGATGCATCTGCAGGTCCTGAGGTAACTGGTGCATGAAGTGGCTAAGCCAGTGTTCTGGGTTTGAGTGAGCGGTGGGGTTTTTTTGGTAGCAGGGGAGGGGGTTATAGTGGCGTCCCCTTGTGAGAAGCTTCTCAGAGCTCCCCCAGCTCCAAGTCAGACCCACCTCTGCATCAAGGTCGAGCCAATTAGCTGTGCCTTTACAATAACATATTTAAGAAGGGGACATGGGAGGAAGAGTTGGAGTTGGGAGGAGGAGTTGTGACATCTGTGTGAACACCAAGGTCAGTGGAAGAATGGGGGAGAAAAAGGGGGGGACATCAGAGCAGAGACCCCCCCAACAGCCCACTGTGCGGCATCAGGGGCCATCCCCACCTTGTCACCCATGGAGGTCTATGGTGGAGCAGATGTCAACCTGTGGTCTGTGGGGGGTCCTATGCTGACACAGGTGACTGTGCCCGAAGGAGACTGGAACCCTGTGGGAAGAAGCAGCCCCCACTGTTGTAGTTCAGTGCTGGGAGGGTTGCAATACGCAGGGATGTCCCATGCCAGAGCAGCTCAGGAAAGGCTGCATCCTGTGGGAAGGACTCAAGTCGGAGAAGGTTGGTGTCCCATGCCAGAGCAGCTAGGGAAATGTTGTGGCTCATGGGAGGGACTCAAGTCAGAAAAAGTTTGTGGAGGACTGTCTTCTGTGAGAGGGGGACCACGCTGGATCAAGGGGAAGAAGTTCCAGATGTTCCCCCCCAAAGCTGGAAGAAGGAGCAGCACTGACCGCACCCCC